ACACACACACACACACACACACACACACACACACACAGAGACACACATACAGACAGACAAGAGGGGGAAAGGAAATAGACATCATTAAAATGCAGAATGGTTATGACAGGTCACCACTCCACTATAGGACCAACACAGAGACCCTTGTTGGTCCCAATCATTCCACACCTGGACCAAAACAGACCAATAAGGACCAATAAGAACCAATAAGGACCATTCACAACCAATCAGGACCAAAAAGGACCCTTCACGACCAAACAGGACCAATCAGGAACAATAAGGAACAATCAACACCAATAAGAACCAATAAAGGCCAATCCGGACCAATAAGGACCAATAAGGGCAAATCAGGACCCATAAAGACCACACATGACCAATCAGGACCAATCAAGACAAATAAGAACCAATGAGGACCATTCACAACTAATCACGACCAAACAGGACCAATCAGGAACAATAAGGAACAATCATGACCAATAAGGGCAAATCAGGACCAAAAGGAACCAATAAGGACCAATCCAGAATCTCCAGCTCCCCTCCAGTGTTAAATATATGTTGTTGGACTATGGGAGGAAGCTGGAGTACCCAGATAAAACTCATACATGCACAGGGTAAACATGTAAACTAACCCTAACCACACAGGAAGGACCCAGGTAGGGTCCAAACCTGTGACCTTTATTTAACCACTGCACCTCCATATTTAACTTTATTAACAAGTACTTTCTCCACCTCTGTTTCTTGAAAAACACAGTTTCTCTGAAATCTGCTTCAGTGAACTTTTTTGTTGTTGGTTTTTATGCCACTTTCCAGTTTCAGCTAGCCTTTAGCCACTTTTAACTTTTAGCAACTACTCGGTTTGTTAACATTTACCTAGCCTATTGCTACTTTCCACTTTTAGCTAGCCTTTTCTTTTTTAGTTTCTAACAGGTGTTTTGCTCTTGTCAGTTTTTAGCTATGCTTTGCTTCAGTTAACTTTTAGCTAACAGGAACAAAATGGTCGGCTGCATGACCTACCTTAATGAATGCTTCAGCGACCTTCAGCTACCTTCTCCATTTTACAAATATTGTCTCAATCTTCTACCTCTTATCTGTAGTCTGATTGCAGAGTCAACAGGTCCAGGACAAAAACCTAGACTTCCCACTCCTCATCTTAGTTTAAGCTTTAACAACTCAGTTTGGCCTTCAGGACTTAGCTGCATTCTAATGTCTGTGGTTAATATTAATAACTACAAAACATAGTGACTTTCATAGTGACTGATGTAAACAGGAACCCTGCAGCCTTCATACCTCTGTCACTTTGACTCTATATATTTACTGGAGCAGAAATATGAACATTCCTGCAGGGAGTGGCCCCAGGCTGCACCAGAAGGCCTACAGGATCCTGCTGCTGGTGTTTGTATACATAAATGTAAAATTACAAGTGAGCCGTCACATCCAACCCAGGGTTCAGTCAGTGCAAGGACACATATAACCAGCACGGGTAGAAACAAATGTGATGAATGAATTTAGTCAAAATAAGAATAATAAATGTTTTACCTTTAAGTCTGTTGAAGGAAATGTTCGAAATATAATCCTAAAGAACGTTCTGAAGCACTTTTCTGAGCAGAACTGACAAATAATGATGAAACACCCTCATTACTGAAAACGAGGCCCCAATCTGTTGATCCATCCTACCATCACTCATGAACAAGACACCCAGAAACTCCTCCACTTGTGGAGGAGACTTCCCCCTCTTGATATTCCTTTAGAAATACTAGAAAACTAAAAACAAATTCCATTCATTTCACAACTTCAACATGTCAAATTATCCACTCAGTATTTTAAAAAATAGACTAAATATAAACCTGCAGCCTTTTTTTCTTTGTTTGCGTTAGCTGTGTTTTGTACAGTAGTTCTGGTTACTGACCACCAGAGGGCAGACTGGTGCAGGTGGCTCCGTTGTGACAGGGCTGATGCTGGCAGGCGTCAGGGTAGAGAATGCAGCCCAGCTTCAGCTCTGTCAGTTCCACCACCTCTGCATACTGCGAGCGTTTGTTCTGTAGAGGGAGCTCTCTGTTGTTCAGCAGGACCGAGTCCAGGCATCCTTGGAACCCCTCGTGGACTCGCGGGTCCTTCTGGGAGGCCACAAGGCTGCGGGAGTTCGGAGGCTGTACCTGATGGGGGACAGGTTACAACAAATCTGTATGAAACCTCCATGTCTGCTGAGCAGAAGAAAAACAACAACTGAACATAAGAACAATGACATCATTTCTCTATTTCTGAATATGAAATCAAAACTAGCAGCATAAGGAGGGGAACTCAGGACCCAGGATTAAGTTACGGTTCAGCTCCAGAGCAGATCAGGTCTAAAAACATCTGATAAAGATTTAACAGTAAATAAAGACAGAATCAGATTATCTATGACTGTAGAGCACTTACACACACAAAACTGTGGAAATAGATGTTCACTTGGAAAGTGCAAAGCAGACAAAAACTGTAAACGTCTGAAAAAGTTGCTAATCCCTCAAAAATTTTCTATAATGATCCTTCAGATAAATAACACGTGAACATATATGACCAACATGATATGACTAAAGACTGACAGCTGCAGCTCCAGGACTGACCAGAGCTCCAAAGTAGATGGTTCTGTCTGGAGAGAAGGTCCTGATTGAGAGCGGGGCATGGCGCTGCTCCACGTAGCTGTTGTCCAGAGCCAGGCTGCTGAAGTTACGGTTCAGCTCCAGAGCCACGGTGTGCCAGTTCCCATCATTGATCCGCCGACCAGCAGGACCCAACAAGTCAGGAGGTTCACCGGAGCCCCCGTTACAGGACTGCTGGAACCACAGCTTCCCCTGCTCCAACTGTAGGAACACAAAGAGTTTAATGCATCTATCTGTCATCCATCTGTCATCCAACCATCTGCCATCCATCCATCTGTCATCCATCTGTCCTCCAACCATCTGTCATCCACCCATCTGCCATCCATCCATCATCCATCCATCTGTCCTCCAACCATCTGCCATCCACCCATCTGCCATCCATCCATCATCCATCCATCTGTCCTCGAACCATCTGCCATCCACCCATCTGCCATCCATCCATCTGTCATCCATCCATCTGTCATCCAACCATCTGCCATCCAACTATCTGCCATCCATCCATCTGCCATCCACCCATCTGCCATCCAACCATCTGTCATCCATCCATCTGTCATCCATCCATCTGCCATCCATTCATCTGTCATCCAATCATCTGCCATCCATCCATCTATCATCCAACCATCTGCCATCTATCTATCTGTCATCCAACTATCTGTCATTCAACCATCTGTCATCCAACCATCTGCCATCCATCCATCTGTCATCCAACATCTGCCATCCATCCATCTGTCATCCATTTGTAATCCAACCATCTGCCATCCACCCATCTGCCATCCATCCATCTGTCATCCAACCATCTGCCATCCATTCATCTATCATCCAACCATCTGCCATCCATCCATCTGTCATCCAACCATCTGCCATCCATCTATCTGTCATCCAACCATCTGNCACACACACACACACACTGTATGATAGCATAGTTGGGTCGCTCTGCTGCCTTTCCTCAGTGGGTCAATTAAGAGGAAAATGAGACAGAGGGGGGCATTTTCAGTCTGTCACCATAAAAGAACCATACCTTACTGCCTGCTTGCCAATTGCTCATTTAATATAGCTTTAAATTACCCTGCAGTGTACTTTCAGTGGAAGCGAGGCTGTGTTGTGCCGCTGAGCGAGAACACAAAAGGAAAGCAACAAGAAAAGGGAACGAGGTGTGTCACACAGTTTACCTGTTAGAAAATGCAAAAAAAAAAAGCAATCACCAAGTTTTTAGGGGATGGGAATTATAACCGTCGCCTCTGGTGGAATCAGTACAGGTTCATACATTATATCTCGCAATTTCTTTGACAGACAGGAATAATTTATGGCGGATAACAAAAAAAATACTCTATTTTCAATAACAAGCTTCTGTGGTACTTAGAGGAACTGGCCCCCAAAGTTAATTGAAAAGTGTCCTGGCTCTCATTTGCATAAGAAACGCATTTAAAGGTGAAAAAATTATAAATAAATATGCGGCCACCTGTGAAATATGGCTTTTGGCCTGCTGGTCATTTATAACTTTGCCTTTAATTACGTGACAGGCTGGGCTTCGGCAGCTGTAATGAGAGGCTGGAGTGATGGAGAGGAGTGTGTGAGAGACAGAGGGCTATAGGTCATTTAGTGTATGAGCAGGTAAACATGCATGCAGATGCTCACAGACAGACAGAAAGACAAACTCGCAGGTCTCTGTGCTCAGACCACACAGATCTAAGTGCACACACAAAACAACTGAATCAGACACACAAAAACTGACTTCACCCAGAACTTCGTTTAACTTTTACTTATGAACAGAGGTGTCAAAAGTATTCACATTCATTAATAAATAAATAAATAAATAAATAAATAAATAAAT